AGAGTTATGGATTATGAGTTGTATTTTACAAAGTAGCTATAAGCTACAAGTGTGTATATTTGGTTTTATCAAGTTATATACAAGTATAAAAGTAAGTTAACATATAAGCCATTATTTGGGGTTTGCAGAACGGTTCGGAACGGTTCCGGGGATTTCCCCAGAACGGTTCGGAACGGTTCCGGATACTTCCAAAACCTCAGAACTATTTAGAACTATTTAGAACGGTTCCGGAACGGTTCCGGATTCAAAGCCTATAGACCCCAGAACGGTTCGGAACGGTTCCGGAGACCTCCATCTAATAGCATATGTTAACTTGTATAATTGCATATTTTGACTATATAAGTATTTTACTTTAATACAGAGAGTTTGAACAAATAAACACATACTAGTACCATAAGCAATGATGATTCAACACAAGCGATACTTTCAAAGAGATATTTTAATACAAACTACACAGTTGTATGATTTTGTTAGAAAAGATTCCACAGAACAGTTTTCAAGACAGGTAAGATTTTGAAAGGGGCCACGCCTTCCATGAACAAACAGCTGAGAAACTTCCAGCCTTTTGTGGTCTACATCCAGTTTCACCTTCTCCCTTGTGCTCAGCATGCCTTCGCACTGCCTGTTCAAAGACTTAGGCGGAGAAGTTGCCTTCCCTTTGTCGTTTTTCTGACTCCTTTCTCTTGTAGCCTTGGCCCTTGGAGCCACAGGGCGGCTCTTTGGAAGGTTTTGAAAATGCGAAACAGGAGGAACTGCTCTTGACCGTTTTTTGGGGGGGTTTGGAAGCTGTGGAGAAATATTTCCGTGCAAAGTTGAGGTCTGCAGAACCGTTCCGAACCGTTCTGGAGGTCTGCAGAACCGTTCCGAACCGTTCTGGGGACCTCTGCGCTAAGAAAATTGTCACGTAAATTGGTTCTCTGTGCCAAGAATCCCGGGAATAGGAAGGCACGGACAAGGTTGAGCCATTCCGGATGCATTAGTCCCAACCTGAAAGTATAACCCATCATCACCCTCAAGAACCCCACCGCTAGCGCTATATATATATATTCTGAAAAGTATCAAATCATGGTCCAAGAAATTATCGGCAGCTATATACAATATAGTTTGTTTCTTTTATGGGTAGTAGCACGGTAGTAGCAACAGTCTTGCCAGAGTGACAAAATACCAACAATATAGCCTGGATGTTGCACTGCTGCCGCCACTGCATATTTTTGATCCATTCCAGAACTGGTGGGGAAAAAGACAGCAATGGGAATGCAGCCAACAACCAGCATTGCCTTTGTTCTTTTTTTGAAAAGGGAAGTCACATAATCCCAACAGCCTGAACACATTGCAGAAGCCAGCTCAGCGCGCCCAAACACACACGGACTGCCTTCCAAATAATTGAAATTACATATTGATAGAATTCGACTTCAGCGCCTGTTCCTTCCACCTAAGTATTTCTCCAATTGCGCTTAAACCGCCTGAATCTTCCCTCAAACAAATGCAGCATCATAAATTAAACCCACTATCTGTATGCGGGTTGTGTATTTATTCAAGGTTTCAGGTTGTTAAGTAATCAAAGCTGAATTTAGCCCAGTCTCACACTAGAAAATTAATTAGCTGCAAATAGAATTCCACTTCGTCGTTTGTTTCTGTCGCCTGAGTATGTCTCCCATCTTGAAAGCAAACCATATTTTCACCCAAATGCCAGCCCCAGACTAGAATTTGGAATGCATAATCTACTTAAGCGCACATAGAATTCTACTTAGGCGTCAGCTTGTGACGCCCAAGCAAAATTCTATTTGCGCCTAAGTAGATCATGGATTATGTTTTCCAACAGCCCCAGACTAGATTTCTATTTGCGCATAAGTAGATTATGAATATAAATTATGTCTTCCAGCAGCCCCAGACTAGAATATGGTCTAATTAGGCGCAAATAGTAATAGAATTCTACTTAGGCGTCAGTTCGTGACGCCTGAGCAGAATTCTTTTTGCGCCAAAGTGGATTATGAATTATGTCGTCTAACCGCCCCAGACTAGAATTCTATTTGCGCCTAAGTAGATTATGAGTATGAATTATGTCTTCCAACAGCCCCAGACTAGAATTTGGAAGACATGGTCTAATAAGGCGCAAATAGTAATAGAATTCTACTTAGGCGTCAGTTCGTGACGCCTAAGCAGAATTCTTTTTGCGCCCAAGTAGATTATGAATTTTGTCTTCCAACAGCCCCAGACTAGAATTTGGAATGCATAATCTATCTGGCGCAAATAGAATTCTACTTAGGCGTCAGTTCGTGACGCCTAAGTAGAATTTTATTTGCACCTAAGATTACCTAAGTAGATTTAGTCTTCAAAAGAAAGACCGAAACATAAGTTCACCCCAATCTCACAATCAGAATTTTATATCTATAGACTGTGGATCAGATAGGTATAAAGTATCCATGGCAAGTTTTTGTTATTAGCAAAACTGAATTCATCACCGGTCCACAATACAAATTCAATTTAGGTCAAGTACTTCACGACTTTGAGTGCAAATCCAGATTGATGAATCTGGATGTGTCCTCGCTGTGTGCATTGTTTTGTTTCTTTACTTCTTCAAAAGCTTGCTAATTTTCCCTTGACATGGTTTCTAACATCACCTTCTATAAGATATCCTTATTGCCCTGGTTTCTTCCATAGTCCCTTCCATAGTTCCCTCCATGGTCCACAAGGCCAACAGGTTAAGAGGCTAAAGTTTGAAATAATTAATAGTGGTTAATAGTGGTTAATAGTGGTTAATTAGATATCTGGTTGGTGGTTTGGAACATGAATTTTATTTTCCATATGCTGGGGATGTCATCCTTCCCATTGACGGACTCCATCATTTCTCAGAGGGGTAGGTCAACCACCAACCAGCTATGAAACTACCTATGAAATTGGCATATTTATCCATATTTATCCATATTTATCCTATGAAATTGCCATATTTATCCATATTTGGGAATGTATACTCCCATGAAAGGCTAGAAAATTAAACATGATCTGTCTATGAATGTATACCATTCCCATGATCCACCATGACATGTTTCAGGGTCAAATCCAACTTTATCCCACCCACGTATGGCCCGAATTTACCAGCTATAAGTCAGTGAAATAACCCCATGTATGGAATGTATAACTGTATAACCCCAATTTAAACCATAAACGTCATTGGCAAATTGATGTAAATGGCTTGAACTGGATAGGGATTTATATACACATTATTTTTGGGGTTGTTATAACATGATTGACCATAATTAGTTGGATAGCAAAATTAGCCGATGAATTTGTATATTTGTTTTGATTATATATATATATACACAGTATGTATATATATATATACTCATACCCATAATGTTGCAGGATTCCCATTTTAAATGATGATGGAATTGATAGATTTAACATAGCTATGGAACACAGCACATTTTGTTCGATGATCTACCTAGATAAAATTGTGATTGTCAATTGCTATGTTGGCAATGTTGATACATGTATTGATATAATATTACATTATCTATAATTATCTCAGTGATGTGCATATGTATGTGCACATGTATATATGTTACATTAATCTGGCTAAATAGTAACGGCCTCACTGGCCGACGTCACAACGTAAATGATGGTGAATGTAAGGATTGTTGAATCATAGTGTTTCAGCCGGATATTAGGAATGTCATGTATCTAGCTCGATATATATATATATACTCATAACGGTAAAACCAAAGCCAATATACGTAACCCGTTTCCAATGCACTTGTGGGCAATCAACTACATTTGGTTTGCCACATTATATACATACATATGCGTATCAAAATCACCAAAAACAATGAAACATCCAAGTGGCTCAAAGGGGGTTGATTGGTGTTGTAAAATTCTGGACGCACAGCTTCAACCACTGTCATAGTCCACCCATGCAACACATTGGTTGACCCATCTTAGTCTTAGCCCATCTTAGTCTTGGCCCATTTTGTTTGGCTACATCCCAAATTGTTGTTGCTCATATGCTCAGTGGCATCTCTGTCTCTTCAACTAGAAAGTAAGTGATGGAAGCACCAACTGGTCTAGGCCTTACTTGGCCAGAGATATTTCTGGCGACGTACATGATGCTACGATCTGACTCACCCTGCCAGGAGAAGCCTTTCTGTGTGTCTGAGTGGCCAGAAATCCCACCGAGCGGCGCCGGCCTGAAAAAGGACGGCAACGGACGGCCGCAACGCATGGGCCCTGTGTGGTTCGGTGAGTCGTGGTGACTGCCGGTGATCAAACAAGGGGTAGAACCTTGAACCTATGGATATATACATCCCCAGGCGACTGGATGGGTAGTTTAATCATGTTTAATCCTTTTTTTTTGGGCTACACATGGGAATATCATGGAATATCTACTAACCAGCTAAGAATATATAGACATGGTATGTTTTAGGCATGCGAGTCCACTGGCACCATCTGCGAATTGCCTATGACGAATCAATACGAATCATAATTCCTTTACAAATTGTACTATGTTTGAAACAGTCTGATCAGTTGAATCAGTTGTAGGTAAAGCGATAGATGAAGATTAGATTCCCAATTGCTTCAATGTTGTATTTGTTGGATTAGGTTCACCTTATCAATTCCTAACTATGTGCTAGGTGTTTGTTATCTTAGTTTGGATTTGTATCAAATTCGACCATGCATCTACCTCGCGCGTTCCTGCAGCTTCGTTTTGAAAGGGAGCGGTGAGCTGAGCTATTCATATTCCCGGGGAGTCAGTTGGAGCTACAATTTGAGTTTCCCAACCAGACTTACTGGTGCTAAACGTAGGGAATGGATGGGTTGCTGGGGGTTGCTGGGATGATGACATTACTAGTGATGACTGGGATCATTCCCGAAAATTCCCTACGTAAAACGCACCAGGATTCGATGATAGTTGGAAACTTCTTCTATTTCAGCTGGCCATATTTGGGCACTAGCCAGCTGAGCGATGACTCAACGGATGCCATGCCCAGACGACAAAAATGCTGAGAAGACCGTGCCATGGATGAGCCCTTCCGGACAGTGTCAGGACCCGCTCTCACGGGACATCACGGGACCAAGCGCCTAAATGTGTATACGGTTCATTCAGTACCCCAAGTTTGGACATGTTTGTTAAATCCACACAAATTTGATCCGGTCATGTTTGATTTTTGATGTTCTGGTGATGATATTCGAAGTTTTGATGGTTATGACATGTTTTTCAAAATGTTCAATCACCATTTTCGTTGGTGAAATCACCATATTTCCTTGCTTAATTCACCAGGTTTTACTACTTAAATTGAATGGTCAAACGCCCTGTCTACGTCACAGGATCTGTGCCCTCGGAAACACTCCTGGCCGAAAGGACGCGCAGTCCAAAAGGCAAGCTGGCCGGCGTCATCAAACATGGCGGCCCGCTGTGAATTCCCCCCCATTTCTTGAGGATTTTCCCAGCAAAAAACTCTCCAGTTACAGAGTGTCTAAATGGGAAAATTGTGTTCTATAGCTGGGAAAATCATCTGTAGAAATGGTGTATTTACAGCAAACCAGGGAGCTGATTCCCAGAAGGTATGCTCTTTGCGCTTTGTTGGATGTGTTTTGATATTGATGTATGGTACAGTTGGTATCGCGGCATGGCCCGCACAAAGGTCATGTGATGGGTCGTTGAGCGGTTGAGCGTCAAACCAACATATCTATTGGATCATGTAGTCTCATGTCATTCCACTGATTCAGGGCTTGAAATTGGACAATGGCCAAATGTTTATTACTATTGTTAATACATGTTAATACTATGATTATTATTATCCTATATTATCCTTGTTATTATGAGCGTGCCACTGCTCTCCTGTATTATCACACATTATCCACCAGTTTCCTGGTTGAGTCCTCCATGTCTCATGGTATAGCCTTTTTGATGACTGGAATCAACCCAACACCACCTACATCTGTAGGTCAGGGGATTAGCAGGGCAAACCTCAGAAGGTATTAAAAACCCTCCAGACCAAATTCAATCAGGTTTTGAGGATATGTTTGGAAGCCTCGGCAGTCAAGGGTTGCATTTTTCGCATGGTATCTAAAATTACCCATGATGTAGGCGGTCCATTCTGACATGATCTATATAGTTGAAACACTTTCGGCGGAAAAGTGGAATGGTAGACCCGTTTGTACCAAGCAGTGACTGGTGGGTACTTAAAGTTGCAAGTCCAATGACAACTCTGAACTATTGAAGGCTTATCTCTAAAAAGAACGGATGCACATGGATCCACACAGAACAAGAGATGCGGTGTTTACTTTCATTCATTAGCCTAGACCTTGACATATTTCATGTGAGGAAATTAAAAAACCCCCGTCAATTAGATTTAGTATTGCAGGTTGCCTTTTTGTACCGGGTATAGTCCATTCACCGTAAAACGATAAGGAAGAAAAAAAAACAACGATAACGCTAAGTATTGTATATACATATATACATGCATGTGTGTATACATACATATATATATATATAAGTGTGTCGTGACCAAGTGTAAGTGTGTCCCACAAATGGGGAGAATTTACGTGACACAAAACGATAACAAAACGATAACAAACACGATAACAAAATCAACCCGAAAGCCATCTTCAAACACCATGGCCCATTGATCACCTTGCCAAAGCGACTGAATCAACCAGCCAGCCTATGCCATTCCCAGCGTTGGAGACAACCAGCCAACCTAAAGACATTAAAAAAAAGGTCCTTCTAAACATGTTGTGGCTACATGTGGCTACGGTGAGTTTGCTCCAAGAAGCGTTTTTGCAGCAAAGGTATGAACGCCCGAGGTCAATGGAAGCTGAACGAATGATTTTTTGGATGGCGGCCGCATGTGCATAAACCTCTTTGATTGTGATAAGTGCAGATAGCCTGCAAAACGATAAGGAAGAAAAAAAACGATAAGGTGAAAGCGGCATAAGCAAATTTATACGGGGTTTTTTTATCACCTCATTTGTCATTCGACATGGGATTTTCCAACATTGACAGTTAACATTCTGTGGATGCAAAATCCTGCACCAGTTGGTAACTATGAAGGTACCATAAGGTATACCTATGAAACACTGGGACTACAATGGGATTATCATGGGATAAATTCGACCAACTGGACCAACTGCCAGGTAAGATGGCGCTTGCACTGGAAGCCTCGATGGCGGGTTTTTCGAATGATGGCGCGGGCCCTTGGCAATTTCACATCATTTTCCTAGGGAAACCATGGGTTTTCTACATCGAGTAGCCTAGGGAACCAATGGATAGTGGTATAATTACCATGTTTTGGCCAAAATGATCCAAACTGTCCATCTTGCTGAAGAACAGGATGATCAGCCATGGTATTGGGTCTCCACCTGTGCAAAAAACGCATCACATATTCGTCGTATTGCCAGAAAAGCAAAGTTCGCAGGAAAGACTTCCATCAAAATCATGGTCTAGAAATGTCTAGAAATGTCTAGAAATGTCTAGAAAGAGGAATCAAAGGCCCTTCCCAAAAGTCTCTCTGTTTTTCCCCAGAGATTTAACGGATTCCTCCGCTGTGCTTCAGGATGCGTTTCCTGGGCAGAACTTTCAGTCGCAGGTGCCGGCGCCCATGGCGGGATTGAAAATGGGCTGGATTTACCCATCAATTGGTTAATGTTAATCCCAAAAATAGGGATTAACTGATTAACCACTGGGAAAATGGCGGTGAATTTTCCCATTGGTCAATCCATGAAATCCCAGTGACTTCCATTGGTGCAGATCCGGTGAATCCGATGAATTTTAGGCTCTAAAAAGTTAACACTTGTGGATTAAGCCTATAACCATCTATAACCCTAAGCGTTTGGTGGTTTGGAACATGAATTTTGAATTTTCCATGTCCCATTTTGGATGTCATCCTTCCCATTGACTAATATTTTTCAGAAGGATTGAAACCACTAACCAGCTCGTTCAGAATTGTTCGGAATTGTTCGGAATTGTTCGGAGCCGGAACATTACGTGCCTCCAAATATTGGATTGCTTCAATCGAACATTTCGGAGGTGTCACAGTTTACAGTTTCATGTCTTGTAGTAGGAATAGAACAAGACCTGGGTTTCTTGCTGTTTCTTGCAACATTTCCCTTACCTTCTGGTAAATTTCACAATTCTATTGCTAAGTAAATCGTATGTTTTATCATCAAACGAAATGGGCCATGTTCCACGGCAACTTGTCAAATAACGTGAAATAACCAGTATTATAGTGGGTTGTAACGATCCCAGTACATCCCCAGTCATATCCCATGAAATTACTCTTCTGAAGAGACAATATCACACAAATATAACATTACTGATATATCACATTTGCGTCCATAGATATGGTAGGTTGCTACCACACATTACCATTTAAATCCACCATGTTACGCATCACTTAGATACTGATATCCTACAAATCTACCACCACATTTTCATGACAAAAAGTCATATTGTCCCAATATCTAATGATTTTGATTGAGTTAGGATATTTACCCAGTGATATACGGTGATATATATATAATATATAAATACAATATATATATATATATATATGTAATATATATATAATATAAATATATATATATATATAATATATATATATATAAACATCCCGGCGGATGGGAAACCGCGCGAGCGTTTTGATTGTTTGCTTCCAGGAGAGTCACAATCACCTGTAATTTACAATATAAAATGCTCTTCCGAACTCTTTGGATAACTGAATTTTGGTTAAAAAAAGTGGATGCAAAGTCAATTGATTTTTGACAAGTCCAGGTAAACATCATGTGCATCAGACGTGGATGCTCAGATTTTTTTTAACACTCTTCGTCGGCTCAGCGATCCATCAGTGTGGAAGCTGTCTTCGACAGCAAGTTGCTATGGCACTCATAACGCCACTGCCAGCAACGCAGGTATAGCATGACATCTCAGCAGCGTAGCAACATGTCACGTAGTAAGCGTACGAAGTACAAGGAACGTTGGCAATATATCATGTACGAAGTACAAGGAAC